TACAAACCAGGACGACTTAATGTCGTCGCTGATGCACTCTCACGTCGTCCCGACTTTGAAACAGTCGCGAAACCCAACAGTGAGACAGTCACTGTTGCGGTTATGACGTCCTCAGTTCCATCTACAACGTTGTATGATGATGTGAGGCGGGCATACGCCCAAGATGTTGAGATAGTGAAGTTGTTGTCACATCTCTCCCAACCATCTCGAGAATCGTTGAAACGATTGTCGTCTGCGTATCGATCTGCATCAGATCGATACACTACTCGTAACGGTTTACTGTATTATACAGCCGTTTCTGGTGACACACCACGTGTTGTCATTCCAGATGATACTGATCTGCGTTTGCGGATCATGTTCGAGTATCACGATGCTCCTATAGGAGGACATCGTGGCCGAGAGAAAACATATCTCACGGTAAGTCGAGACTTTTACTGGCCCCGCCAGTATCAGTTTGTGCGAAAGTATGTTCGCGCATGCGAAGTCTGCCAACGAGTGAAGTCAAGTCCTTCACTGCGTGCACCTTTACAGCCTCTACCGGTTCCGGCTGAGTGCTGGGAATCCATCTCAATGGATTTCGTCTTCGGGTTACCCAAAGACGCACGCGGAAATACGGGTATTCTCGTATTTGTTGACAGATTCAGCAAAATGGTACACCTCGTGGCTGTACCAGAGACAATCACGGCAAGTGGCTGTGCTTGTGTCTTTATTGACACCATCTTCCGACTTCATGGGTTGCCCCGTGAACTCGTATCAGACAGAGATCCACGCTTCACTGCTAATTTCTGGCGTTCCGGGTTCAAATCACTCGGAACGCGCTTGAAGATGTCGACTTATGATCATCCTGAGTCTGATGGTCAGACGGAACGTGCCAATCGTGTCCTTGAAGAGATACTTCGAGGATACGTACACTCCTTTAAGAGTTGGAGTGAGTTCTTGCCAATGGTAGAGTTTCCCATCGACAACTCGGTGCATGCGTCCACGACACATACACCGTTTTACGTGAATGGCTTACGCCATCCGCGTGTACCCACCTTACTAGAGTGTAACTCTGGTTTAAGGGGGGGAGGGACTCGCGCGAGCAAAAACCGATTTGGTTCACGCTCATCACGCTCTGACGAAGAGGTTATTGAGTTTGATGCCGATATCGATAGCATCGATATCGAAGAAGATGATGCTGGTGGGAGTGCGGAAGCCCTCACTGAAGAAAAGGTTGATGTTGCTGCAGTGCGCTCACAGCGCACTGAAGCTAACAAGGCATCAGATGAGTTCATACTGGCTCGTGAAACGGTAGTCCGTTTTGTGCAAGACTCCATCGCTGAAGCGGTGGACAAGCAAAAGCAAAACGCTGACAAGAATGGAAGGGCAAACACTCTTTTATTTAATAAAGGTGACTTAGTCCCACCTTTTACGGTTAATCTACCCAAGCATGTAGTGACTAACTTGGGTAGCAGTAAACTACTACCCAAGTACATCGGCCCATTTCGTGTATTGCACCGCCTAGGCAATGCATACACGATCGAGTTGCCACGTAAGATGCGAACGCATCCCACGTTTTAAGTTGGTCGGCTTAAGCCGTACCATCAGTACGCTGCTTCTTCCGATGAAGAACGCCCTTTCGCTCAAGCATCTCGCAGAGAGCCTTGTGCTCCCGATGGTGGGCATCAACAAGGGTCTAAAGAGCAGTTATCTCAGCCCGAGACCGATCAACATTCCCACGAGCTACCCTTAGCTCGTCACGAAGAGATGTCAGAGATCTCTCGTTCTCAAGCTGAGCAAAGGCAAACTCAGCTCGATGCTTCGAGGCAGTGTCCACCATCTGGAGACGCCTATTCCGCTCATGCTCGAGATCGTCGCGTAACCCTTGCGTTACGCGATCAAAGAAGCTCTCGGGAACACACCGATCCACATGATCGTGTGGAGAGCGTCTTTCCTCCTCCTCCACCTCCATTAGAGGACTCTCGCGGTGGCCAGCGCTATCTAGTAGAGCAGCTGTTGAACCACCGCAACGTGAACGGACGTCGGACGAGTTACCTCGTCCGGTGGCGCGGCTATCCCCCGTCCTGGGATTCTTGGGAGCCCCGCTCCCAATTGATGGTTGACGTACTGGGTCTGGTCGAGCAGTACGACGCGGCACATCCTGTGCCGCAGAAGGACCGCCGGAGAAAGTCTTCCCGGCACGGTCGTAAAGGGATTTCAGGTTGTCAATCCCTTCGTACATCTCAGTAGAGACACGTACGCGCCACCACGGGCTGGTAAGGAGGTAAGCCTCCTTAGGTGCTCGTGCAGAGTTGTTCACACAACATGGGCACGAGTCTCCCCAAGAAAGGCAGGGTAATCCTTTCTCCCTAGACAGACGATGCAGCTTGTAGCGTGCACCTGTCGGGGTTCGCTTTTCAAACTTATCACGAGCTTTGATAAGTTTGTCGTTCCAAGCGTCACGACCTACATCCTCGAGATTATGGATGTAGGCGTTCCACGCCTGAAGTAGTGAGGGACCATCACGTTTGTGATTCCCACTGTACCATCGATGTCTGAAGAAAGCATCGATGAAGAACTCATGTTCAGCGCGATAGTCTTTCGCGCTGGGGTCAAGGTGATGAATCCTCGACGAATCGAACAATCGTGTTCGATAACGATCACTCGTCGTCGCCGACAAGTGATCCATGACGGATTTAGGAGGCATCCATGCCTTCTTTTCTGGAGCGAGACGCAACACATTGCGGTCCCGCTCTTCCTGCGACGTGCCGACAGAAGTACTGGCACCTCGCTGTGAAGTGGTGTCCATTGGAGAAACGACACCACTATTAGCGCCCGAGTCTCGCGACCTCGAGCGCCTTCGCTTCGGCGATGGTTCATCTGACTCATCAGATGAACCAAAGATGCTGCGACGCAAAGCATCGTCCATGCCACGCTTGGCAGGCGGCTTGGATTCAATTGCCGTCGATACGGATCCGTCATCCGTATCAGGAGAGTACGAGACACCGAGCTCGTACTCTGTGAAGACACGAGTGTCTTCATGACCAGCGCCTGCATCACCAGGTGATACAGGCTGAGTCGATTCAGCAACCGATGGGACATCAGTTGCTGTAGTTTCTGCTTCGGCGTCCGCACAGAGACGTGCAGACGCGCTCTCGGCGGCCTTGCTCGCGCATCGCATGGGCTTGTTTACCATGCGATGAGATGTTGGAAAGTGGACGCGGACCAACAAGTGCAAACCCCGTCCCAAATGATTTGGGACGAGTATCCATTTAGTCAATCAGTCACTAAAGTGACTGATGGTTAAGGGGGGTGATGTAACGGGGTGAATCGTTACATAACAATTTATAAGAAATTGTTAATAGAATATAACTATAAGAGTTATATTCTCAGAATATTGTCATAAGGACAATATTCTGTAGCACTTCCAAGTAGTTCCTAATTGGTTGATATAGGCCATTATATCAACCAACGAAGACGCGCCACGACAGACGCACGCAATGAGTGGTGAGCAGATAACTGATTTACACATTTGTATTTAGACATAGTTAGATGAAGATAAATAGTGATTTATTGCAGACATTAACTATTATAAATACAGTTCTACTTTTTACTCTAACCAAGTACTCGCTTCTTCTTACCGTCTTCCTCTGCACGTACGAGTGTACGTGAAGTTACGAGGCACCGCCTTATTCTGTTATCAGAATAAGTAGCTTGTACTGTCACCAGTACAAGCTTCAGGGTGCCCCGTTACAACGACTCTATGGAGCTAGCTGTCGCGCGCAGTACTCCACATTCGCATCATAAGGCGTTAAAATCTTTGATCCTCCGAGTCGCTGCATGACTTCACGAATGACATGCAAAAATATGGACTGCGCTTCACGAACTTATTGAGATCACGAAAGCTGATCAAAAGTTGAAGACTCATATCTGGCTTAGAAAGAAAGAAGGCTGGAGAGGCCATCTCAGAGTCGAAGATTTTCTCAAGCACATCAAGTTCACTCAGCCGTTGAATTCGTCGCTAGCTGCTTGTTCTTGACTGCGCGCAATCGGATACGGTTTCGCATATACCGGCGTGTAATGTTCCGCAATAGGAAGTACATAGTCTGGTAGTTTCATCTTGCCGGAATGACCTTTATACAGATCCTAATACTTCGTGTGTAGCTCAATGAACTGCTTTTGCACGTATGGATGGATTTGAGCGTCATTTAAGAGATCGGTCGGATCCACTGAATTCTGGTTGACGTTCTTAAGCTCGTTGCAGCTAGGTTCGACGACTTCGAGAGGAGACCGCTTAGAACTGAGGTTCAGTTTGCAGTTGTTGCCGTCCCATTCAAATTGCGCATCGCAAAAGCTGACAAACATGCCTAAAGCACTAAGAAATTCTCGACCGATAACCATCCCATCTTTTGCATTGGAAATCACAGCAAAGCTGTGAGTGATAAGTGAACTTGCGCTTGGTTTCAGAAAGCGAGATTTTTATCTGCGTTGACCCAATAATCTTCACAATTTCGTCCACTTGAAAACAAACTTCCGTCTACTTGCTCGAACGTTACTGTCGATAGTTGTAGCTTGCATCCGAGCATGTGGCTTACGTCCAGCAGGATAACGTTGATAAAACTCGTTGAACAGCCTGAATCGACCAATGCAAGGTATTCCTCCTTGCATTGGTGTTCCTCCTTGGCTTTAGAAACACGGATTTGTAGGCGCATTGGCTGCGGCTGATTCGCTTGCGTCGACAGCATGTGTATAAACACCATAAATTCTTCATCCTTGCACTCTTCGTCACGGTACGCGTTATCAGAAGCAGCTTCCCCAACATGTGTGGCCTCCGCACGTTTTGCTTGTCGTCCATTAGATCTTGCCGTCGGTGCTTTCTATTTCTAAGTGAAGCAATCGGCATCGCTTCATGAAGACTCCCTATGAAAGCTGCACCACTTGTTGTACCTCTCGGCCTTGTTATCTCTTTTGACATCCTCACTATTAAACCTACCCACGTTAGCCCGTCCACCTCGTTGACCTTATCGATTCGTGTACCTTGAACATTTGTTGACTTGACGAGGGACCTTGATAGATGTTGCGTTACCGTTGCGAGGGCGTCTCTCGTGTATCTGACAAAATTCAGACGCTTCTAGTCGTAGAAAGTACTGAACCGATTGCTCCATTGAGAGCAGGTCCATCCCACTCATCTCGTAGGCATATTTCCACTCGCTTGGCATGGCTCGATTAAAGTACCGTATCTGAGTGGGCTCGTCAATGTCAAGAGCACCCTCTGGTAAGCTCTTTAGCATCCGTTCCATTTCCATCATGCGGAGATGTAGGGATGCGACGGACCATGTGCATCTCTTGACCATCATGTAGATGTCTTCCTCCAAATAATCACAGTTGTTAATCGGTACGAAAGCCAGGCCCAGCATAGCGAGGACATACTGGTCATCATCATCGACGTCCGTGACGCTTGTAAATGCTTCAGTGTAGGCGTCCAACGCATCGTGCTCGAGGAAAATGCCTAGGTACATACTCCTGTCTCTTGCATCCCATCGTTGTAGTTTTACAAGATGCTTAAACTGAGGCAGCCACTGCATTCAGTTTGCTGCTGACCCCCTACGGAAGCGAAGCAGGCTGACGCGGGTGAACTCGCTCGGTATCGCCGGCGTCGATTCTTGGGCAGCCGTTGACGCCTTGACTGTGACTACGAATATGATCATTCCCCCTTAAACTGGCATGATAGCACGGAGCCCTCTTCGGTGTCAATTGTCTCGCGTCAAGGTAGGGGGGGAGAGCCAACGCTACAACTTAAGAATTTTCAAAGTGACACGCTCGTGGCTTGCAGAGAAACGTTTACGTTGGTCGACTTCGTGTTAAAATGAGAAGTGAATATATGTTGTTAAGACTGCTCTGTTATTACATCTCAAATCATCATGTTCTCCTACACTACTCACCTTGAAGGTCCACAGGTGTCGCCAGATTGATGACGAATGTCCTGGCGACACATTCTTGCGAACGAGCAGACCGTAGTACTCAGAAACTTCGACAATCTTGTCAAGCTGATTGCGTTGCCCTTACATAATGTACTGGGTAAATTCCGATACTAATAGCATTATAATCTTTTTTCAGCGACTGCTATTGTATTGTGATTTGCGACTTGATTTAGTTGTCCAGACTGAATTGTCTATCTTAAAGGAAGACCTCCAGAGCTTGCTCCCCTATCTTTTTCCTTGCCCGACGTAAACAGTGTACTAAATCCACACAAATTTAGTGATCGTTAAAAGTCGATACGGCCTATTGGACTCGCTACATCTGGCCGAAAGTTTCTCCTGCCCAACTTTTGTCTCCGGTATGGTGACAACTATTCGAAGCTTCTTTGCGTACTTTGCAGCGTCAAGACCCGTCTAAGACGTCGATAAATCACCTACTGTATTACCGTCCGATGTTGTGATCTTTATGTCATGAGACGAATCTTTCAGCTGCTAAACGAGGACTTTCATGTCTGTGCGAACAAGAAAATGACCAAAGTGGCAAATAATAGTTAGCATACAGCACGTCAATCAGCCAACGACAAAATAAGTACCACTAAAAGGCACCTACAACTTTAGCAAGCAAGCATGGATCGATCGATCGTAGGCAATACAAGAAAACTGTTGTCTGTAAAACATTTTTATGCATTCCCCACAGTTCGTAGAATCGTTACGTAACTACTCAGCAGTATGAATTCACTTTTGATGCCTGAAAACGGTGTCGGTTTCTGCCGCAGTAACGCATCCTTGAGTCAAGTACATATATGTGATGGTACGTATCTCCAAACAGACCCTATATGTCTAAAACTTGACAGATTTATTGAAAGTATTATCAAGAACGTCTGGAGCATACGCAATCAACAGATCGATCTTCGATTCTTCACCTGGGTATTGGTGTTCATAACAGCTTTAGCGCTTCTGTCTGTGGGTAGCACACCTTGACACTGACAACGAGTAAATGCTCAGGAAGTAACGGATAAAAATTTGAAATTCAGTGTTCAGCTTTTCAATATGTAAGTAACGTGCTTACAGCACGATGAGAAATTTTTTTACGAGAAACCCATTTAACAGTCCCGACTTCTGTCGATTCTATCCATCATGCATCAATAGGTCGTACAATAATGAAACCACAGGTCACTCCCAGTCCCTACAGTCGAGGCCAGGCAGTTGGACATAAACGTGAGCTTCCTTGTTGTGATAACGTGGCAATGCTTATAATTTAGTGAAACTTACGAATAAGCACATTAGTATCAGCTTTTACGGGCATGTACAAATTAGTAGTAGTGTTGAGTCGCATACTGGCTTGCAAGATACAAACCAATTTTGCGAAATAATGGTGTCCAAGACACCGACACCCTGGATAATTTGCAAGCGCCAACGAGAATTTAGGGTGAAACAGACTATTAACGACAAGTCTGGTCGATCCGAGAAGTAAAAAAAGTTTATTTTCATGGTCATGCATGTAAAAAAAAGTATGATGACGATCGGCATGGCGCTTTCGAAAAAAGAGGAGCGGCAGAAGCGGTATAAAGAGGCGATAGATATGACGGTTCAGGAAGTGCAGGATGCACTATTATCGACTTAGGACTTTTGGAGTGTGTTAAAGTATGTGTCAGATGTTCTGAATGGTGAAGTTGCGTTTTCATCTATTATTTTAATAATTACAAATGCCGGAGCAATCACTGTTTTATTTTTATTTGTAATGTGATGTTAGATATTATTGTTTAAATAGATAAAAAAACTAAAAGTAATTTTGGTTATTTACCTATTATTTTTAATGAGTTTTATTATTTTGTATGTTACCATAACAAATTCGATTACAATGCAATTGATAGATTTTACGCAGTTTTGTGTGTCGATAAGTCTCACTTGCAAGATCACAGACGAGACGAACACTTCAGTGAGGATCCGAAAAGCGTCTGTTACGGGTTAACGTACATATCATTTACCGTACTTAACTAACACCTTCAAGCAGACGGAATGCGTAGTACAAGAATTACCTGCGACTAAGGCACCTGAAGACTCTGCGATACGTTTATACCGTCAGTGATATGTAAGTGGCTTTTATACAATGTCTACGTAGGAAAGAGAAAATAGTGGTAGGGAACGTAATGGCTTTCACAAATTGCAATGATCAATAAGTTTAGGGTTGGTGAATAGGCTGATGAGAGAAGGCAATGTTCGAATTACCAGTTTTGTACTCAAAGCGATTTAGTACCGATTTCAAATTGTCCTCTTATTATGCACCATACGTTAAAAGCATCGAAGCTAATCATATCGTTTTCGTACGAGTGTAGCCACCGTCCACAAGCTGAAAAGAGAGAAATCTGAAGCACCACTTTGTGTCGATAAATGTAGGATTCGCTTGATTCTCTTCAATTTTGGGTTGTTTAACATCTTATCTGTAAGAAAACACTGAATCCAGTCATTTGTTTCGATAATGAAATTAGTGGAATGAAGGTGTATCTGAATCACCAATCTCACTTTATTCTTCTAACGATTTTAAGTGTAATTTTAAAAGCGGAAATACAGTATGGTACTATTTAGTGATACAATGCTCATACTAATCCGCCGTTCTCCGCAGGCTATGATACTCGTGACAAAAACTACACTCCGCGCCAGGTAATATCGTACAACTGTACTTTTATCCACTGCTCAGTCAGTTTCACGAATAAGCGGGTGCTACTTAGATAAGTGGTGTATTTATTTATACAAATACCCTCTGTGTGTTAACGATTGCGATTTCGCAAAGCGTAAGGGGCCTCACATACAAATGACTGGTTTTGCCACTGCGACATATAAGATCGTACAAAATGGCATACAAATTTTGAGTATAAAATGATCAATTAAAGACTCACTGTATGTAGTAGTGGGTTTTGATGCCCTTCTTCTCGATGACTTCAATGCATCGTCGCGGCATCGAGCGAAAAAGTGACACAAGTGTGGAATTAAGAATTGTATTTCAAGCTGCAATTAGCGCAGCCTTTAGCTCAGACACGCGCTCGAACTGTGTTCCATTGACGTACACTTGCCTGCTAACGATAGACCACAAATTCTCGATGGGGTTGAGATAAGGTGACTTTGATGGCCAGTCAAGCACCTGAATACCCTTTTCACTAAAGAATATGCGGCTACGGTGTGAAACATGTATGCTTGCGTTGTCCTGTTGGAAAATACAATCCGTACCATAATTAGATGCGCAAATGGTAGAAGATATTCAGACACTGTATACACATAGTCATCTGAATTCTGCCTCCCCGCCAGCACAACAAGTGGAGACTTGCCACGTGCGCTAAAAGCGGCCCAAACCATGATGGACCCACCTCCAGCTTGACGTCGCTTTGTCTGGCGGACGGACTGGCGCACATCTCTCCAGTAGTGCTGAAAGCCGTCGGGCCCGTCAAAAATTCATTTCTTCTCGTTCAAGAAATAATGGAGTCCCAGACGGATCCGGCATCCTCATGCAAGAGCATGTCCTTGGCCCAGGATTTGCGCGCACTCATGTCCGCGACCGTGAGTGGCAACGTGTTTTCCATCTTGGCGTACACAAGCCAATCGACATCGGTTAAAATGCGCTGCACGGTGCGGACGGACACCGGCAGGCTTAGCTCGACCTTGAGCTGGGTGGCGGACAGGGAAACCTGAGCAGAGGTGCGCAAGAGAAGTCGCAAGTGGCGCTTGGATAGAAGCGGAGCGGGTCCTCGGCATTTTATCTGTAGGGGAGTGGTAGGGGATACTACTCGACGTAAAGTGTCAAGGATCCTCGAGGTGACAGTCTTGATGGCACGCAACTCAGTCCAGCCTCTCGAAGCCCCATTCTCCTTTCCCGCTCGTGGTCGGTAAGCCTTGGTTTCTTGTTGCCATTCCCGTCGATACGAGCCGCTAACATCGTGTCGCCAAATGCTTGTGCCGCTAATATTAACCCAGTAATACAATAAGACTGATACATTTTACTTAAAATTTGTATGCCATTCGTACGATTTTATATGTCGCAGTGGCAAACCGGTCATTTGTATGTGAAGCCCCATACGCTTTGCGAAATCGCAATCGTTAACACACAGAGGGTATTTGTATTAATAAATACACCACAATTCTAAATGTCACCCGCTTATTCGTGAAACTGACTGAGCAGTGGATAAAAGTACAGGTGTACGATATTACCTGGCGCGGAGTGTAGTATGAGCTCAATTAGGATCTTGGAGGTAGTTATCAGGCAAATCACATTTTTCACAAAGGGTGAATTGATAGTGAACGTGCGAAATGTAATATCCGAGCTGGTTTAAAAACCTACTTTTTGTATGTGTGTGTGTGTGTGTGTGTCTGTAAATAACAAGAGGTGTACCTTACACGTCTTTATGAGCGCAATGTATAATGTCCGCTCCTTATCTGTGAATACGCATAAAGAATATCGCTCTATGATTAGGTCACTGATTGGGACTGCAAAAATTGGAATGTCAGGTAAAATGTTTTTTATACAGTTTTGAGAGCATATCAAGATATTT